TGCTACACACAAAAATTAGAAAAAAGGCTACACTAACTACTTGGAAAGTCCAATTTGCTGTTCAAGGACTGGAACTCCCCAACTGCATCCTTTTAGGGCAACTGAGTTTTTAAAAACTGAGCCTCTGTGGGGAACAGGAGGCGTGGCTACACAAAGATTTGAACTCAGTCCTTGGGCAGCAAGATGAAGTTAACCCATGCTTGGGCACTCCAAGCAGCACCTAGGAGAACCAGAAAACACAGCCAAAGTTGCCTCTATTTATTTCAGCCATCATAAAATCCCAACATCTCTCAGTGACTTGATGCCACAATCTATTCATTCAAATGCTCTTTTCAAGGGAAAGTCACCCATGCTTAATACCCAAAGAATTATGCGTCATGGGTAACACAGTGAGTTAATCATGATCTAGGCCGGATGCCAGTGAGTAATTCATAACCCAGGCTTGATTTGTTCATCTTAAGTGTCACTAATTAAAGCTGATTTTTGCTTTGTAGAAAGAGAACTTGAAGGAGGAAGTTCATTTGCTACTGACTGGAAAAATTGCTTCTATGATTTTATTTTATCAAATAGTTTCAAATAATTTATTTCAATATGAACATCACAGGAAACATTATTTTATTTATTTATTTATTTATTCATTTAAGGTGTACAGCTGAATTCAAAGCTTAAGAGGAACATACAGTGACAAACTAATTCAAAATTTTGTCATATATCCAAAGCAATTTAGTGTATAGCAATAATTTGGAGATCAATTCTAAAACCACAATGTGATCAATACACTCAAATAAGAAAAACAAAATTAAAACTTCTAATATGTGGAAGTTTTAATTCTTACTGCACATTACCCGGTTGGTGGAAATTGTCTGTCTTACCATAACACAAATATGTCAGCGATTTAATTTTATCTTCTGTAAACAATAATATAGCACATCCCTTATTGGGTAATCAGAAAACGTGCTTACAACTATTAGGCCTTTACACATGAAGTAGGGGGGGAATTCTGAATATGAACACTTTCTACTAGATCATGGCAAATAGCTGGAATGAAAAATGTACAAGGTTTATATTTACTGGAAAATTCATTTTTGTCATAACCTATTCCCATTTTTCCTGATTTAGCAATATTTTTCTCTGATCCTAATTTTTTCTCTGGCCCTAATTTTTCCAAAATCAAATAGTTCCAAACTGTAGCTTGACACTTTGCCATTATAGGCTTTCTTAATTATCCAAATTTAGCAACACCAAATTAATAATACAGCAAAATACATAGTTGTCTTTGCCAACAGGACTATTTATATCTTTGAAACGTTGAAATACAACATCCTCTCAATTTATGTTCTCTCAAGAGAAAAACAAATGTCATTTTATATTTAACCTTATCCCTTGAATCTTTTATTCCCTGAGTGTCTCACTCAGTTTCAAAAATAACAGAGCTAATTTCCTATGTTGCTATATTTGTTAGTCTATGGTGGAAAAAAAAATCTGGAGTCTGATAGGACCTTTTCCAACTGCAGAGATTGGCTAGACTGATGGGAGATCTATACTAAGGTGAAGTGTGGAGAGAAAAGGGGGGAGGTAGAATTCTAAGATTACATGCCAATAAGGAATCCACTGATTAGTAAATCTACTACTTCAAGAATTCTAAATTTAATCAGACAGGTGACATACTATACTCATTATAGTCAAAATAAGTAACCGAGGAAGCTGTTCCAATATAGTCTTATTTTCTATGGACAGGAACAACTCACATCTTAATGCTGAATGATTGCTTATTACACAATAATAGCTTTTTTATGGCCCTCAATTTGTTCAACATGCAGTGGGTTGGTTAACACAGCACTGAATGGATCTAAGTTAAGACAGCACTGAAAAACGTGATTTATGACCCTCCTCAGAGTTACAATTGTCACATCAACCCCACAGTCACATGATCATAATTTGGGTGCTTGGCAACCACCATGTTGGTTGCAGCATCTTGCAATCACATGATTGCCAATTTGCAATCTTCCCAGTTGGCTTCTGACAATCAAAGTCAACAGAGAAGCTGGCAGGGAAGGTCATAAATTGCAACCACATATCTCACTTAATGACCCCAGTGATTCACTTAATGGCAGCAGCAAAAAGGTTGTAAACTCAGATGCCTCATTTAATCACTCTGCAGCTTAAGTATGAATTTTCTGGCTCCAATTGCGGCTGTTAAGTTGAGGGCTACCTGTATCTTATTATAAAAAATTGTTTCTAAAATTCCACGGATAGAAAAAATGGAGAGATTGTGGTGACATATGTACTTCTTCATTTTTGCATTCCAACTACTTTTATACTCGTATGTGGCCTTTTTCAAGGAATTTATACCAACAATTACATAGAAACATACATATGGCACAGTGGAAGTGGATAGTCCTTCTCTTCCTCTTACTGATGAAATTCCACACTGTACTCTCATATCCTCTTCATTTTGATGCAAACTGGTATAGCCATTGGTAGGGAAATTACAATGTCTGTCTGTCTGTCTGTCTGTTTCTCTTCCTCCCTCTCTCTGTGTATATGTTTGTGTGTGAAATAGGAATTGTTTTAAGTATAAAATGTAATTAGCTTGTATGGAAATTATATGTTAAGCTTCAAAACATTACAAATTAAATTATACACTATCATTAAATAAAATGTACTTTTCCCAATTATATAACATAATGCTCAAATTAACAAATGTTTCATTTGCTTTCATTACTGTCAATTAAAAGAGGTCCTTTCTTTTCTTATGCATAACTCAAAACTGGACACTGTCATTCCTGACCTTGCAGTTTAACCCTTTATAGGTGGTTTGAATGATTTGGTAGAGATCTTGTTTTGCTTTATGGAACCACAGCATCTATCCAAAGAGGCTGATTTGACTCCTCATTTTCCAATTCCAACCCAAATTTACAACCCACTAATCATCAATATAGAAAGAAAAAGGCTCTCACTAGGTTATTGCAGCATTTGGAATGAAATCCTATTATTTCATTTTCATGTAAAGTCATCCTCAAGTTTTACATCAACATTGCTTTATGGCAACAATATGGAAGTGATTTCCCATTGCCGCCTTGAGATATTTTTCAATTTTCTAGTCAAGTCTACAGACCAAATGTTTCTTGGTGATCTTAATCCAAACCCCTTATCAAGCACAACACAATTGTGTACTGCCACCAGCAATAGACATTATTTCAGCTATGTAGCCTTAGAATCTGCCCTTAGAAGAAGTTCAACAGTGGTGTTGATTTTAAAAGGACATGGGAAATGTTTGGGCAACCCTAAACAGCCCATTAACTATTTAAAAGCTTGTGGACGAGTTCTCTTATGATTTTTCCTTCCAATCCATTTGCCTTCTCTCTTCTAAGCCTCAGTCTCTCTTGTTTTTATCACTCTGACATTTTTTGCATTGAAGAGTACAATTGTTTTAAACAAAAATAAATAAACAGAAAAACACCAACCAGACATAGGAAAAATACTTACGGATTTGCAATATATCAATATAAAAAGTATAGTGTAGATCTGCTTGTTCCCAGGTTCTGCCAGACTCCACCAGCACAATTTAGCTACTATCTCTAGAACAAGAGAATCTTCAATTCCTGAACATAGTTACATCAAAGCTGTGTTTGTAAATATTGTAAAGATCAATGACTACAGAATATGGGAATCTGTATATGTGTGTTTGTGCACACACATGAAATGTGCCTATGTAAAAGAGAATACAAAGCATGTCTCCAGGGTTTAAAATGTATTTATTGAATTTATATAGTCATGAGAGGGAAGAGGTCATATGGGCATGATTGAATCAAATCATTAGCCATCCTCTCAAGATGGGCTTTATCTGGCCCAGTCACAATAATATTTTTTTTCCTGATTTTTCCCCAAATAGGAATCTGGAGAATACCTGCACTATGTTAAGAACATGAACTTGTCTACTCTTTGCTTCCCACTTTGTCATTCTAAGTTCTTCCACTCCCTACAAAACTGATTAAACTCTGGGATGTTGTCTAGCTTGTTCAGCCCAATTTGTGCAAAGCAGCTGTTATCTTGCTCGGCTGTACCTTCAAGAACAGCAAGAGAAGCTCCAGTGCAACAAGCTTTCTGCATTGTGGTGAGCGTGCCTTTCAGAGGAATTCTACCTTGCCCTTAAAAGTCATTTGGGTTAATTCAAAACTGCAAGGCTAAAATGAGAATTATCTGTTTGTTGATTGATTGAAAGAAGGTAGTCAGGGAGGCTGGTCAAGAGGCTGGAAAGTGGGGACGGGGAAATATTTTGGTATCAGGATGAAGGCAGACAAGACTCAGGATTTAGAGGCATGCTTTCAGAAACACACATATATCGGTAGCCCTCAATTTACAACCACAAGGGAGCCCAAAATTTATGTTGCTAAGTGAGAAATTTGTTGTGAGTTTTGCCCCGTTTTACGACCTTTCTTGCCACATTTGTTAAGTGAATCACTGCAGTTGTTAAATTAGTAACACCGTTGTTAAGTGAATTTGGATTTCCCATTGACTTTGCAGAAGGTCACAAAAGGGGATCACATGACCCCAGGACACTGCGACCATCATAAACATGAACCACTTCAGCTCCCAGTTCGGCCCAGATCGGGTGAACTGGTAGTAGCGGTGGCAGAAGGCTCCACTCACCCACCCGGATGTTTCAGCGCATGTGCAGAAGCATCGCAAGCGCGCCCAAACCGGTAGTAAAAAAATTGGCAACCCACCACTGAACCACTTGTCAAACATCCGAATGTAAATCACATGACCATGGGGATGCTGCAATGGTCATAAGTGTGAAAAATGGTCATGAGTCACTTTTTTCAATGATGTTGTAATTTTGAACACTAAACAAATTGTTGTAAGTCGAGGACTTACAACAATTATGTATTATATGTTGGCAGCCCTTCTTTTCATGCAAAACCTTACCATTAGATAAGAAAATTATATACTTTTTGAAAGTGAGAAGTGCCAAGAAAAAAATGGCTTGTACTTACATTTCAGTGGCTATGAATCCAGTAAGCTCAGATAGGAATAGAAACAATATGAAGAAACAGCAGCAAACAGAGACTGGAAAAGAAATTGGTAAATAAAAGTTAAATTTATTCCTCCCTCAAAAATCCAAAAGTCCAGCCCCAACCAGCTTGATTTCATAAGGGCAATGTTATCACTCAGTTGCCTGGATGCTGCCAGAGACTTTCCTTAAAAATATATCCTGATTCTTCTAACCTAAACCTCAGTTTGCCTTCTATCTTTGAATATTGCTTTGCTATATGGAAATGCTCCCCCAAACTCCAATATATGGTATATAAAAATCAAAATTAAAGTTCTTTCACACCTCCTAGATCTAGAAAGTTGCAAAGGCTGACAGAAATCTCATCCTTCCACATATAGTTAGGTATTAAAAACAGTGTATCAGGGGTCTTAAGTTGGCTGCATGGAAAACACACTCTCAGGTAATTTAGAACTATGTTCTGGCACTCAAAGAAAAATGAATAAAAAGCCCCTTTTTGAACATTGTAGTATAAACATTGGTTTAAAATAGTATGTTATATAAACAGGCTGAAAATGGATTATCAGCAGGATAGTAAAAGTCAGATGCTTAAACCATGAAATAAGCGCTAAGAAATAGTAACTCTAAGATGTTCTTATTTAACTATTTAGCTTTCTTCATCCTGGATGTTCTTAACATGAAGTAAGAGATATTCCATTTTTCCTTCTACCCACTCTATATAATGTAAAGGTTGAAATAAAACAGAAAACATGATTCCTAAGTGAGAAGAGAGCTATAGCCAAGTTCAATTACTACCAGTAATCTCTGTCTACTGCAGTTGTCTTACCTATTTCTTCTTTTATAGGTCCTAATGTCTCAAAAAAGCAGAACTTGCTCCATTTGAAGAGTCTTATTTCTAACCAATCTTATTTTGTCTGAAAAGGCTAAACCAAAAGTGCTTATTATTTCTTAATTTATTAAATGTATATGACCATCACCACTATGCAAATGCCAGGCACAAAAAATGGGACACAATGGGACGCAACATACTGGAGATATACAGTACAACTACCCGCAAAGGAGGTGCGAGAGAAATAACCTGTCGTGAGAGAGATAATTGCACTCTTCCAGCTAATTTTTGCCAATTTCTTTTGCTTCCTATTGCTGCAGCTGCCCCATTAGAAAAATGTCTTTGCTGCAAAAGGAATAATCTCATTTTGTACAGATATTTTCATCAAAATTATCCCAAGATGGTGTCCATTAACATCATTAAAAATAATAGAAAAATAATACCAATCAGCCAGAGATGAAGTTGAAATCGTACAGGAACCAGTTGGTATTTATAGTAATTAACATATCCAAATAGTTAATAAAAAGTCTAGAGAAATAAAAAGAGAGTTTTGTTTTTTTTGCTGATTCCTAAGGCATAACATGGAATATGCAACATGGGCTCCTTTGGTGAGTGAATTGCAGAAATGAAACATCATAGCTATTTCAGTGGTGGACAAAGTAAGTAGAAAGGCTTGGGAGATGGACATGGTGATAGGAAATCAGTTCTGAAAAAATATAAGCCAAAGGAATAGCCCTATTGTTCAGATGTGTAACTAATGCATTTTTTCTGTGGGAATCAAGATGACTAATGGAGGCAAGACATGAAACAAACACTTTTTTCTCATTCATGTTCTCTATCAACTGGAATTGAGAGACATGTATACTCCTTAGATGTTGAGACAAACATTTAAGACTTTGATTGATACTGACCGCTAAAGGCCTATTGACACCAGCTTTTGAACTGAGTGACAATGGAAACACTGTGATTCTAAGCCACCTCTTATTACGTTTACACACTTTATTGTTTATTTATTTATTTTTTGAACCACTTATCTCCCTCAAAGAGGGAATGGGCGGTGTACAATAAAACATCAAAATATATAAAATTAAAATGTTAGAATTAAAATTTTAAAAGGAAGCAGGAATACTAAAGCTCTGTAAAGCATTATGAAAAGCTATTTAAAAATACGGAGGAAAGGTTCTCATGGCACCAACCGGTCCCACAATTCCATGCTCCTTTGGGCTCTCCATTCAAGACCCCTAAACTATGTTTTAACTCCTTCTCAGAAAGCCAGGAGAGTGGTGGCCTGCTTCACCTCCAGGGAAGAATATTGCATGGGGCAGGGACAACGGCAGAGAAGGCTGTCTTCCTAGACTCCACCAATCAGATTTCTTTAACTGTTGTGGTTTGCAACCTACCATCCCTGCCTGACCAGGTGAGACAGGCCAATGTTGACACTATGCAGTGGGAGGAGGGGATTTCTTGCACCTGTATGCCTCAGCAACTAATTAAGCTTTAGGTGCTACTTTTTCCACAAAATTAAATACTAAAAGATGAGATTAGATTCATTTGCTATGTCACAGTCCTTCTCAAGCTAGTATTAAGCAGATCACTACGATTTTCCTTTAATTGTACCTGTCCACACTTGGATTTAATAGACATTTTTCCTGAGAAGGAAACTGAAAATGTCTGGGTTTCTTACCAGCCTTGGTATCCTATTAGACATCTCTCTATGTAGCCTGTTTGGTATATAGTTAAGGCATCAGTCTAGAAACCAGGAGGCTGTGAGTTCTAGTTCCACCTTAGGCATGAAAGTCTGCTTGGTGACTTTGGGCCAATCACACTCTTTCTCAGCCCAACTCACCTCACAGGATTGTTGTGGTGGTGAAAATAGGAGGAGAGAGTATTAAAATGATCACTGCCTGGAACTACTGCAATGCGCTCTACATGGGGCAGCCCTTGAAGAGCATTCGGAGACTTCAACTTGTCCAGAATGCAGCCGCGCGAGCGATTGTGGGTGCACCTCGGTACACCCACGTTACACCTATCCTCTGCGAGCTGCACTGGTTACCGATTGGTCTCCGGATACGCTTCAAGGTGCTAGTCGTCACTTATAAAGCCCTTCATGGTATTGGACCTGGGTACTTGACAGACCGCCTGCTGCCAATTACCTCCCAAAGACCCATTAGATCACACAGATTAGGCCTCCTCCGGGTTCCATCTACTAGCCAATGTCATCTGGCCACTACCTTCTCTGTGGCGGCTCTGGCCCTTTGGAACGAGCTCCCCGCAGAGATTCGGACCCTCACCTCTCTCCAAGCCTTCTGAAAAGCCGTTAAAACCTGGCTGTGTTGGCAGGCCTGGGGTCGATGAGTTCCCTTCTCCTCTCGAATCGTGTGGCTGTTGGTTGTTTTAAATGCCCTGTACTTTTTGTTGTAGTTTTTGTGTTTCCCTTCCCCTCCTTGGGTTTGTGCGCCGCCCTGAGTCCCGCCGGGAATAGGGCGGCATATAAATAAAATGAACCTCGAACCTCGAACTACTATTATGGTGGCACTGCCTTGAGCTTCTGTTATGATGGGATGAACAAAATCTTTTTAAAAAATACCTCCATGCGTCTTAGAAACAGTCACAGTGTTGAGTGTTCGCAGTATTCAACAATGACTGTGAATGAAGGAAGTAGGCTCAAATGAAAGCAATGAGGGTGTGGCAAAATCTGTACACATAAGACAATGAAAGAGGCAGAGCTGATATTGATGAATTAAAGCAAACATTCTCCACATCTTGACTCCATTCTGAATCACCATGGAAGAAATGCTTCAAGCCACAGTATTGAGGGAGGGGAACATCTAAGCACCATGTGACTTTATTCATTCTTCAGACACAATGTCAGGACATTCCAATATTCATCTTCATCGCCACAAGGTCTTGCCGTTGAAATGTTCTATGTATTGCAGCATCCCCTTTTTAGTCATTATGGAACATTTGTCTAAAAAAATTAAATTAAAATTTCTGCCAATCAAGAAAGGAGAACAATTCTAAGTGAGCTATGCATCGACTGTGTCTACTATGCATTTACTCAACAGTTATTAGATACCAGAAGCACGTTGCTGAGCTCACTTTGCATAGCTACTTATCCATATTCTTCTCCCATCCTGGGAAGGACTCTTATTATTTTAAATCTTACTGTTCTAACAGCATGCCTAATTGTAATTCCAGAAAACATCTATGTTGTACTCCTGTTTGTAGGACTATACCATGCATTGCTGTAAGGCTTATGATTTTAAGTGGGTAAAATTCAAAAGTCTCTTTAGCAAATATTGGCAATAATTGCCATACAAAATGGGTGTTGGGGTAGCGTCTATACAACTCTGTTGTTGTGTATGCTTATTGAGATGCACCAAAATATGGTAAATAAAATAGCTGGGGGAGTTCCAATCATCCTTGTATGTAGAGTACTTGTGAATACAGAACAAGCCCTGGGTCAACTCTCCATGCACAGAGGAAGAGTCTTGGATCACTTACAGTATTTCATAGTATGTCATGTATGGAACTGGAGAGGTGTGTTTGTAATGTCTATTTATTGGATGCTTTGAGTTGCATGACCTCTTGGTTCAGGCAGGAACTACTTTTAGGTCAATTGGTCTACCTACTCATTAGGGGGGGAGATAATTGGAGGCACATTCATAATTCCAAGACCCTTTAATAAACCTGAGATGAGAAACAGTAATGGATGATATATATTCTATGAACTTCAACTTAAGTTGAAATCATACCATTTAAACCAAGAAAAAACATGATCTTGAGTTACAGTCTTAATAATTCTCACAAGTCAATCACCCATAAATGCTAGGAAATATAACATGTTTTGTCATGAATGAATGCCTGTTCCAGGAACTAAATGCCTGACAAAGTATGTCACTCTTCCACAAATTATTCTATGGGAAAACATTTGGAATTAATACCCCTTTACAAGAATCCAGTTGAATAGGATCAAAGTGTGAGACTTCTTGCAGCCAGAGAATGACTGTGCCCAAATTATAGATGATTTAAATAAATCAGGATGTTATCAAGCTTGAGGCAGAAAGGAAGGAAAGGAAGAAAAATTGTTTTATATTTGACCACCCCAAAAAGGGAAAAGGCATATGGAGACACTCTGCTAAGAGAGTATCCATATACCTGAATGAAGAGGCACACATTGTTTCAAGCTGGTTAGAAAGAGCATTAGCTTACACAAACTGATTCTTC